ACCCATGGTTCTATTTCATGATTGAATTACTAATGAACGTTACAGGCTATCAACGCTTTGAATATTCTCCCCTTGCAAGCTCAGGGCTCCGTGTCGTACATTCGAAGCACGGCCCAAGCTTTTTCGTCTTTGCCACCCATCATTTCACGCAACATCGGACCTGTCATCATGTGGAGCATCACATGTATTGGCTATGAACGCCAAAAACGAACCTTTGGAGTTTACGACAGTGAAGTGCGCCAGGGATTGGCGGATACTTTGCTTGTCATGGCCAAGGATCTCATGGTCTTCTCGGGAATGGTCAAGTACAAATTGCCACCACGGGTCTATGAGACTCTGGCTCGTGCTGGGGCAGATATCGGGGCATATTAGATGTGATTTGAGATACTGAGATACTGGAATACTTATTTTGTGCTTATTTGTCTCCGACAATACAATCAAGCGAAGATGCAATGATCAATTATTTCTAATGGATTTCTATTTGACTTCTAAGACCGAATCAATCTGTGGACTATGTTCCCCTGGTACATGTAGGTGGTGGCTGTTGATATACTACATGTATACTCCGTACTCGACCTCAGAACGTGGATAACATCTCCGGGCCTTCATGTTTCCGCCCCACTAAGTTCTTCCCGAGGCTCGTTCTCCGACACTTTGCTCTATATCGTGTATATATATATGTGTGTGTCTATTTAGGGCTACTCCGCAGTGAAATGGCCATTTGTCGCCATAGCTAGGAATAAGGAGCTATAGCTATATTTTGCCACGCTCCCCCAGGATGGACCATGCCTCCGACGTGTCCGTCTCGAGCGTAGAGGCTTCTGGCAGCGAGGCGGGATCCCCGCACAACGGAGTCTCTTTGCAAGCGAAAGACGTTCTGGGAACAGATCAAGAGATCGGACGGGCCTGCGATACACGAGACGCAACGGACGAAGACCTGCCCGAAATCACAACCCCCATCAATTTATCCGGTGCCCTTGATAAACAAGCATTACACGGTGACGGGAACGAGTCAACACAGCGCAATGCGACAATCGGAGATGCTCACAGCAGCAGCGTATCAACGAGTCAAGGCGCGAAGGCTACCCCAAGCCTTTTCAACAATCCACCGAACCTAGCACGCATACGCAAGGTCCTGTTCGAGTGCAAGGACCCGATAGAAATCAGTCTCGAAGAATTTGAAACATATTGGCCTTTTATAGACAATGTATGGGTCAAACAAAGATCAAATGCGAGCAAAGAGGGCCATTGCACCACCGACTATTACATGTGCCGTTTACGGCGTCCAACACACCGCACATCTGAAACTCGCCCCTTACCAGAAGGCAAGCGCCCTCGCAAAAAGCGAGTCCGAGAGGGAGGCATCTGTAACTTTCAAATCAAGGTTGTCCGGTTTGAAGGCGCATACTCGACCGTCACCATCGCGAGAACGCCGGGTAGTTGCAGCATCCACTCACATGACCTCGACTACATCGACCGAGTGAAGCGAAACTCGGGATTAATGGAGTACGCGCGCAAAGAATCTGTGAAGGGATATCTCCCTTCTTCCATTTACACCAAGTTTCAGGAAGAGCCAGATAAGCTTGGTGAGGCTGGCGGGCGATTCTTCACTGTGACGGACGTCCGCAATATCTCCGCCAAGTGGCGTATACAAAACCCAGAGGTGAATCTGGTCGCACACGAGGGCTACGAATACCAAAAGGGCCATGGTATTGTTAAAACTCAAAGCACCGATGGTGTCAACGAGGTGTCACCCCAAACAAAACCAACCTCGATCTCGTCAGCTTTGCCCCCGGACACACTATCCTTCCCTCAGTTTTCGCTAGACTTCTTACATCCTTATCTTCCTAATCACTCGGAACGCCGAGAGTTCCCCCATGTCACATTGTCGTACGCATCGTCGATGGACTCCAAGATTTCTCTTCAACCGGGAATGCAGACGGTATTGTCGGGACCGGAGGCCAAATTGATGACCCATTATCTTCGCTCCCGACACGATGCCATTCTTGTTGGAGTAGGGACTGTTCTTGCAGATAATCCAGGTCTGAACTGCCGTCTGGAAGGGGCCGGTGGATTTGGAGGCCTGGGGAGAATGTGGCAACCACGGCCCGTGATCATTGATCCTATGGGCCGATGGCCTATTCATCCTGAATGCCGGATGTTACGTACTGCCGTTGAAGGAAAAGGCAAAGCTCCATGGGTTGTGTTGTCCCCAGGAGCTCAAATCAACCCTCAGACACTAGTGATGCTCAAAGGCTACGGTGGAGATTTTCTCCGCATTGTAGAATACAATCAACACTGGCGATTACGCTGGGAAGCCGTCTTTCGTGCCTTGGCATCGGAGGGCATTAAAAGTGTCATGATTGAAGGCGGTGGTACGGTTCTGAGTGAATTGTTGAATCCAGAGTATACAAGCTTCATTGACTCGATTATTGTCACGGTTGCTCCCACCTACCTGGGCCGTGGTGGAGTGAATGTCAGCCCTGACTCGAAACAAGATCAAGAGGGTACACCCAATGCTGCGTTGAATCCTCGAGAAGTTAAATGGATGCCATTGGGACAAAATGTGATTATGTGTGGAAAGATTCGTGAAGAAACCAGCCGTTGATGCAGTGATGGGCTATTGTAATTCTATAATGCTCTTCAATTCATAGATAGATCAATAAAGAAAACATATTCACGCGTAACAACGCGTTAATCATCAATAAAAATCAACGAATGTCAATGAATCAGCCCATTGAGGTGGCTGGGGAGAGAATGTGCTATTGTTTGGCTGTTTTTGGCTTGGCGTCCTTTTTTCTCTTTTTTCCCCTTCACATACCTTTTCCCTTTTATTCTTCCAGTCTCAAACATTCCTCCCCACCCCCTGTTCTTTCTCATTCTTTGCTATTTCTAATAGCCCAGTTTAAGGCAAAATGCCTCCTAAGAAGAACACGTCCAAGCCCGTCGAGGCTTCAACCGAGACGGTAAAGAGAAGTACTCGACTACGCACCAGCGCCAGGCAGATCACTATGACAAAGGCCGAAACCCCCGTGAAAGAGTCTACAAAGGCAGCTGCAAAATCCACCACTAAGTCCATTGAAAAACCTACCGCAAAGCCGACTGCAAAGGCTACTGCAAAGTCCACTACAAAGTCCACTACGAAGCCGACTGCAACATCTACCAAGTCAACTGCGAAGCCAAGCAAAATGGCAACATCTACCAAATTGACCTCTGCTACGAAGAAGCGCAAAGCTGATGAAGATGAGGAGAAACCTCGCGAAATCAAAAGATCTCGTGTCGCGCAACCCCGTCAGCCAAAGCCGAAAGTCAAAGTTATCATCAACGAGGCCCCGAAAACTAAACTGAATGTATTCGTCTGTGGTGAGGGTAGCTCTGGTGAGCTGGGGTTGGGCACAGCTAAGAATGTTATCGATGTGAAGCGCCCACGTTTGAATAAGCTTCTGTCTGCCGAAGAAGTCGGAGTTGTACAGGTTGCTGTCGGTGGCATGCACTGTCTAGCTCTAACGCATGACAACAAGATATTCTCCTGGGGTGTGAACGATCAGGGTGCGCTCGGAAGAGAAACTGAATGGGACGGTGGATACAAGGACATTGAGAACGACAGCGATTCCGATTCCGATGATGAAGACAGTGGATTAAACCCCCGGGAGTCTATTCCCACTGCTATTCCCGTCACCGCTTTCCCCGAAGGCACTGTCTTCGTTGAAGTCGCCGCCGCCGATAGCGCAAGCTTTGCCTTGACCGATGATGGTCTAGTCTATGGCTGGGGCACCTTCCGAGTAAGACGAACTGACTGTTTTGAATTACTTTGCTTTTACTGACAACGATTCTAGAGCAACGATGGAATCCTCGGATTTGACGCGTCTTCTCACGTTCAAACGATCCCAACTTTGATCTCGTCTTTGAAGAAGATCAAACACCTGACTTGCGGAGCTAATCACGTTCTTGCCCTGAACGACCAAGGTCGCGTCTACTCGTGGGGCTCAGGACAACAGAATCAGCTCGGTCGCAGGATCGTGGAGCGCAACAGGCTGAATGGTCTTCAGCCCCGAGAGTTCGGTCTCCCTAAGAACATCGTCCACATCGGGAGTGGCTCGTACCACTCGTTTGCTGTTCACGCCACTGGCAAGGTCTATGCCTGGGGATTGAATAGCTTCGGTGCAACCGCCCTCCGCGAGGGCGCTGGCGACGATGAAGCTGCTATCGTGCATCCCACTCTTGTCGAATCACTTTCTGACAAAAATATTTCACAAATCTGCGGCGGCGCTCATCATTCGATTGCCATTGCTGGCGATGGTGAATGCTTGGTTTGGGGCCGTCTTGACGGTTTCCAAAGCGGCCTTAAGATCGATGCACTTTCCGATGACGCCGTTATCAAGGATGAGCGCGATCGCCCCCGTATCCTGATCGCGCCTACCCCTGTTCCGGGTATCAAGGCCAAGGTTGTGGCGGCTGCCTCGGATCATTCTCTCGCTATCGATTCCGATGGCCGTGCATGGTCATGGGGTTTCTCTGCTACCTATCAAACGGGACAAGGTACACAGGATGACATCGAGGTGGCTACTGTTATCGATAACACTGCTACTCGTGGAAAGAAATTGAACTGGGCGGGTGCCGGTGGTCAGTTCTCTGTGTTCACGGAGCCTGCCAGCGCGTGAGATCAATATATTCAATTGGCCCATCCTTTACTGTAACATCTAATGTCTCTTTCTCTCCCTTCGTCTTGTCCCGTTTCCGGGGCAGTACATGAAGAGTTGCTTTGCAGTCTCCAGTTATTCTACTCAGTTAGCATGTTATTTGAAATTAATTCTTTTTCCTTAAATGTGATCCAATGTGGTATTCCTAGTAATTTTAGTTTCAGACTCATTCGGCCAATCCCAAGCTGAGCCCTACATAGCCGAAACGAAACGATTAAACAGGAACCAGCGGGTTTATCCCGGGGTAAACATATACCATTGCTGTCATTAAAAACTCATCGTACAAAATGCCTTCCACAACTACATCCCAAGCTCCTTCATCGCTTCATATTCGGCATCATAGTCGTTATCGTCATCTGGTGCTCGTGAAGATGAGATACGCCTGTCGGGTGGAAAATCTGACATTGGCTCATCTTGTTCTCTGAGAAGATCCTCCAAGTCATCGTCCTCGGGCTCGGGGTAGCTGACAGTAGGCGCCGCGCTCTCGTTTGGATCTAGAATAAATAGGTCTTGGTCGGCAATCTCTTCCTGGCCCATAATAATCGCGGTTGGGTTGTGATTGGAATCTGCAGGGTCCGTGGGGACGTGGCGATTTTCGAGCTCTTCTCGCGTGGGTCCAGAGCTATCGAACAGTCTCGGCTTCTCCTCGTCTATCCATTCTCGTCGCATGGTTTGAATGCGTTTAGAGTGTCCCAGTTTCTCAATCATTGTCAGTCCGTCTGCGAATTTTGCGCGTGGAAATAGGTCATCGAGCCATAACTGGTAAAAGTTGAGCAGGCGTGCGGCGTCTTTGAACTATAGCGAACTCAAGTCAGTTACACTAGCCATGCATTAGGAATTTTGGATAGACAAGAGAACAAACCTCGTATCCTTTGCCCTTGAATTTCAGCTTCTGTCTAGCAGTATGTCGTAGTTTGGGTATGCCCGGTTGTGAGAGTAAACTAGCCTATTCGTCAGCATTGTTGCAGCCCCAAATGCTCTCCCGAAACAAAACAAAAAAATAACAGATTTCAATCAAGAAAGAAGGTAGCAAGTGAGACTCACCGGCCCTCATCTAATTTAGCCACAGGTTGTCGTTTCTTTGCGACTTTGACTTCTTCATCAAGACCCAAACCAAGTGCAGAATCTCCTATCCCAGAGGCCTTGGTGCTGTTGGTATTGGGAGCATTATTATCCGGAATAATCTCATCCAAGCCAATGTCATAATCAAACAGATCGTTCAAATCATCTGCTGTTGGTGAGCTTCCTCTCTCTGAAACATTCGCGTTCGCCATATTTCTAATCGCGTGCAGGTACCGTTGTGGGTACAACTATATCAAGTGATCGATTTGACTGGACCAGATAACTGAAGGTGAACGAAAAAGAAAAAGAAAAAAGAAAAACCTGGCTGTTGGATTGGAGCAGTTGGACTTTGTGTACGGCGTACTCGGTATGGGATGCTATCTTGAAATTCAATGTCAATCAATCAGATGCGACCTTGACGCGTGACGCGAGTAGCCTGTTACATGCGCTCTGATTGGCTGTCAGACCTCTTGTCCGCCTTGATTGCGCTAGTCCCCAAAAGGTTAGCTTCGCCCTCCTCCAACTCCCAGAACTTCAACCTCGAATGCTTGCACATCCACACTTCAAGCAACATGGCGACCGATACCAAAACAGCCATTGTGCCCTCTAAGCGGGCCAATACTGACTACCCGGTATGATTGATCTAACATGAACCGGGGCTACTACTGTTTCCGTTCCCGATTGCTTGCGTATGTCTTTGGCTAACATATCCCACAGTTGATTGATTCCGACCCGTACGCTTTACCCCGGATTCTAGGATTTTATCACAAGCTTATATCTTTTTCAGGCATTTGAAACGAGTGTTCGGATATGCCCGGCCTTCCGACTGGGCCGTGGCTGGCGGAATGGCCTCGGCTGCTCCCATCTCGCTCTGGATCATGGAGAGAGCAAGTCCGTCGCATGTAGGCCGTGGTGGCTTCGCTCCTGTTATGCGACTCGCGACAGCTGTTGGTCTGCTTGGCGGTCTTCATGTGCTCTATCAGCGATCCTGCCGTAAGTCATATCCCTCCACTTGAACTCTGACCCGCTTTTTTGGATGACATCTCACTCACACCTTCACAGAGCGCTTCTACGGCTTCACTGAGAATGCTAGGGAGGTTGAGATGGATACTCGTGAGATGGTCGATAAGGTCAAGAAGGGCGAGCCTCTGTACGGTAAATCCCAAATGTCGCCTCATCTACAAGGCATGGCAGCCCGCAACTCGCGGTACTCAGAACTCTTCATCCATGTTGTCCCATGGTTCAACTTTGTCAACCACGATCAGGTAAGTCCTCCATTTGAGTCGATTTGGGAGGGATGATGTTGATTGTTTTTTGTATCAGCATGGCGTGGACACTGCCAAATACTACCAGCAAGCCGAGCAAGAATTGGAGGCAGAGCGCACTGGCTCTTCATGAAATACACCATCAGCTAGAAAGAAAAAAAGAATGATGGGCAGCCTTTCCGTTCAGTGTTGCAGATTTGTACACATATCCCATTTTGTGTGTGTTTTTGGGGGCGCAATTGATATTCACAATACAGATTCCCGTTCTGATCAATATTGACGCTTTTCAAACTTATATGGAGATGTCCTTTGGTAGTAATGATTCCCCGCTTGTATCGGGGGCAAATTCAGACTAGCCCTGGAGGTATTGCGCAGTAAAATGATGTTTGGAGACCCCCTAAATCTCATCCTTGCCGCCTACCAGGTTTGGGGCGCTTCTTCATTGCCATTTTCGAATCTAGTATTCAGCTCTCGATTCTTTTTCGGTCTGGGGTTAGGAGCTGCAATGTAATCAGCAGGTAATCAAGGTTGGGGTATGTGCGTGCTAATTCCTACCTTTTTCGTTCTCCTGTATATAAAAACGACGGAGCAACATGATTGCTTCTGTCTTGAACAGCCCACCGTAGACAGGGTATGGTGGGTCAATTGAGGAGCTGTATCCGATTAGCCCTGCACAATCGGTCGACGGCGTTTCTTGGGATGTACTGACTCGGAATGTAATGAAAGAACACCTCCAGTGCCTCCAAATCGATCATTGGCGCACCCAAAGTACACACTGCGGATGCGGTACTGCTTCAGGGCAGAAGCACACATCACACAGGGTTCGACCGTAACGTAAAGATCAGTATATTGCAATGCCGACCTAGAGTAGCTTTGGAGCATCTCTCCAATTGCTATAAACTCGGCATGTCTCGTTCCCTTGGGGATGGTCAGCGGTATTTAATGGGATCTTTAGAAGCCACCCACATTCATGGATCTGTTTGTGTCGTTCATGCCAACCCCCACAATTTGGTCGTTGTACACTAGAACACAACCAACGGGTGTCTCGCCTGACTGGAGAGCCTTCTCGCCCTGGTTTTTCAATGAGCATTTTTCGATTTCCCGGCATCAAGAAGTTTCGTACCATCAACAAGGCTTGCTTCATGAAATATCCATGTCTCGAATCATCCATTACGGAGTCACTCTTGAACTCCATAGCCAATTCGAAATGTATATTTTCTGTATATGTTGCACTTATCTGAGTTGACTTCGGTGACTGGCGAGGTATCTCAGAGTTAGGAAGTGATGTTAGAAGAGGGTAAGGAGTAGGTGGTGGTGGTACCTGAAATTTCAAAGTGAGGTTGACTAACTCTCTGAGTCACAAGGCCCAACATGATATGTGAAATTCACATACTCCGGAATTCTCTTAACTCTCTTAAGACTTCCTGGATCATAATGTCTCGATTTCGAATTTTTTCGAATTTAATTCTTTTATATTTTCTACAATATACACGATGTAGAGGACCCGACCATACACCATCCCAGGCCTTTATACTCGACTTGATAGATATAAGGCTAATGTATAGAATTTACAAACCGGTATTCAATGATCACAACTAAGCTCTGATATTACAGAGTGTGTGCGTGTAGTGGATACTTGGTGCCTCAGGTGTCAATCGACATATCAACTCTCTCCGCGTATCTGCGCACTTCAAACACCCACACGAACACAACCCGGCCTCGGAATTTGTGTAAACACGAGAAATTGAACTTTTTAAACCTGGTCCCATGAACATGTGTCTCCCATATGGCAATCGAGGGAGATAATGAGCAGGCTACCGCGCCTGGGAACGCTTGGAGAGCTGAACCTGCCTCGTCGATCCTTGCTTCGCGTTTCGTACCGCATCTTGCAACCCAGGGAAACGAATCACACTTAACCCGGGAAACATTCGCCCAGCTTCGCGAGGAAATCTTTAGTGAGATACAAAGTCAACTACGCGTTGACGAAGGTGTCACTGATGTCAACAAACTCATATGCATTGTCTTAAAGGCCGGCTTAGAGATTAGCCCAAACGGGAGCACATCAGAGCAAGATCTGGAAGGGCAAGTCCTCGACTGCTTAGATATTATTCAGGCCAGCATCGAGAAAGCCCCCCAAGCTCTGTGGGAACCCTCCGACCCTATCATCCTGGGTGAGGACACACATGCTCCTTTATTCGCTTGGCTAATCCTACGACTGATCCGACTCGCCACCACCTGGACCTCCGAGATTGTCCGGGAAAAGATTCAACTTATTTGCGCGCGCCTAGCTAATTCTAAGTTCAAGCGAGTCCGTCCATTGCCTGCAAGCTACGCCGTTGCTGCGTTTTTGCGTGCTTGCACATCAGGTCCGTTTCTAGCCCCCGATGATGTAAAAATTTGGGCCAAATTGACATTCCCTAGATATTTTGTGCTCTCTGGAAACATTTCAACGTAGCAGTTCCTGGGGTACACGCCTTGGAGGGTTGTCGATACCCGCCGCAAATGGATCGCTTATTGAGGACACTCAAAGTCTAGGCCTCCCCCCTGGATTATTCAAGAGCATTACGGCCCTTGGAGGCTTTCCGCAGACAATCTCTCTAGCCTCTCGGTTGCTTGATTCGTTCAATCCGAAGGGCGAAACGCAATCCTGTGTAAAACATCATGATTTCATCCTCCGGCAAAACTTCTCGTGGGTATTGAATGGTTTCCATCGCCTTAGACAGGTTGTTATCGAGTGGTTGCAAATGAAAGGAGCCCAACTCACCTCGGAAGATGCAATTGTGCCTCTGCAATATTTGACTCATTTGCATCGCTGCTGTGTACCAGAATCGACTTTGGCTGGACTGCTCTCAAACATGAGCCTGACTTATACTTGGTCCCAATGCCTGTGTGGCTTTCTGAGCCTTGGGAACATAGGAAAGTTGTCTTCTGTTCAGGTCATTCTAAGTCGCTTCCTGCGCGATTTGACAGAAACCGCAAAATCTTCTCAGCCTCTGATACAACAATTGAGGGAGACCCTGCTTCCAGTGTTAACTAATGTCAAAGACGACAATTCCAGCATCCAGTCCCTTGAGTCGTGTCTCTGGGTAAGCTTTATCTCATGTCTAGCACAGGTGGGTCACCGAGCTAATACCAGATCAGAGTTCTCTCCAGGCCTTGCATGCCCAGCTTCTAGATACAGTACCACCGTTGACTGTGTGCTCACCTAAAGGGTCAATAGGGGAAATTTACGAGGAATCGGATACGGCATTCCAGAGAGCCGGGGTTTCACACCAAGCGGAGCCGAATGAATATGCCCGGGCATCGAAGCGGCTGTGTCTCCCAGGACTAGAGGCAGGACCTACTAATCATGGCTTGTTTTTTTTTCTTATGGGAAATATATCAGCGATTCTTCAATCTGACTGTGGCAAAACGATGGCAGATCTACGCACCTCCATCCAGTGAGTGGACAACAGATACCCCTCAAGGTGTGAAATGCTGATTTATTTGTGTAAAAGGGCATCTTACGAGGAACTGTCCGAATCTAAAAAAACCGAGCTATTGGACATCCTAGGAAAAATCTGCTGTGCAACGGCAGGGCAGCTTTTGAGGAAGTCCTCGCATGTCATAAAACGAGACACGCTTCTTTGTCAAACATGCGATATGGGTCAATATCAGAATGGTCATGCGGGAAATGAGGAGCATTCTGGATTCGAGGAGATATGGTCACTATTCAATTTCATCCTACCCAGGCTTACACGCACGCCTGGTCCTCGGATATCTGCAATGATTGCACTCAGAAGAATTCTTATGCACGCCCCAAATTCCAATCAAATGCATATTCCAAACTCTGACTTCGGAGAATTCTGTCTGCACTCGCTCCGCAGCTCAATCAGAGAATTGCGTGTTGCAACTGGGTGCGTTCCATAGTCCTTGAAGGCACACTAGCACTGTATACTGACTATTAT